CCCAACTGTCTATCAGTAGACGAATGGATAAAAAAGCAGTGGTACATATGCACAATGGAGTACAATGCAGCTTTAAGAAAGAAAGATCTCTTGTCCTTTGAGACGACATGTAGGGACCTGGAAAATATTATCCTAAGTGAAACAAGCCAAGCAGAAAAAGACAAATACCACATCATCTCACTTATTTGTGGAATATAATGAACATAACAGTCTTAGGGATAGGGTAGACCCAGAAACATGGAAGTAGGGTACAGACTGACAACCCTCAGAAGAGGGCGTAGAGGGGGGAGGGAAGAGATAAACCACAGAACTTATATGCTTGTACGCACAGCCAATGGACATGGACAAGAAAGCCGGGGATGGGGCGGGGGACATAGGGAGGAGGGTATCAATGAGGTAAAAAAGGAGAAACATCTATAACAAAAATAAAATTTAAAAAAAAATTACATCTGCAAAGAACCTCAAAAAAAAAATAAAAAACAATGAGGTATCACCTCACACCTGTCAGAATGGCAGCCATCAACAAATCATGAAACAAGCGTTGGCAAGTGTGTGCAGGAAAACTCTAGTACACTACTGGTAGGAATGCAGACTGGCGCATCCACTATGGAAAACAATATGGTGTATACTCAAAAAATTAAAAATTGATATGACATTTGACCCAGTGATCCCACTTCTAGGACTATATCCTAAGAAGCCTGAAACACCAATCAGAAAGAATATATGTAATCCTATGTTCATAGCAGCAGTATTTACAATCACTAAGATCTGGAAACAGCCCAAATGTCCATCAATAGATGAGTGGATAAAAAATCTGTGGGACATATATACAGTGGAATACTATGCAGCTGTAAGAAAGATCTCTTTTCCTTTGAGATGACATGGATGGACTTCAAATGTAATATGCTAAGTGAAATAAGCCAGTCAGAGAACGACAAATACCACATGATCTCACATATTTGTGGAATATAAATTAAACTGTCATTTGACACAGTGATCCCACTTCTAGGAATATACCCTAAGAAGCCTGAAACACCGATCAGGAAGAATATATGTACCCCCATGTTCATAGCAGCACTATTTACAATAGGTAAGATCTGGAAACAGCCCAACTGTCCATCAGTAGACGAATGGATAAAAAAGCAGTGGTACATATACACAATGGAGTACTATGCAGCTTTAAGAAAGAAAGATCTCTTGTCCTTTGAGACGACATGTAGGGACCTAGAAAAAAAAAAAAAGCTGAACAAAACAGAGCTGGAGAGATAGAAAAGAGTATAGTTCATACTGATAAACCTCAGAGGAGGGGGCAGGGAGGATGGATGAGATGAGCCAAAGAACTTATATGCATGTTCGCATAATTAATGAACAGACAACAATGCTGCGGGGGTTGGCGTAGGATGGTGAGAAGGGTGTCTGGGAAAGGAAAGGAGAAACATCTGTAACGAAAATAAATTAATAAAAATTAGGGGGGAAAAAAAGAAAGCGTAAGCAGTATGCCATCATGTGTGGAGAGAGAGAAAAAGAACACATACATGAATACTTCCATATGCACAGAATATCCCAGGAATGCACAAGAAACTTACAACTGCAGTTTTCTGTGAGAAGACAGAATGTGTATCTGAGGGACTGTGAAGGAAGGGAGGCCTGTTTTATTTTATTTTATTTATATATTTATTATTTTTTAAATCATCGCCTGAGGATATTTTCAGACAGAGTGGGAGGAAGAGATAGAGAGAGAGAGAAACATTGATGTGAGAGAGACACATCAACTGGTTGCCTCCTACATGACCCTGGCCAGGGCTGGGGACCAAACTACAACCAAGGTACGTGCCCTTGACCAAAATGGAACCTGAGACTCTTTGGTCCGTGGGCCGACATTCTAACTGCTGAGCCAAACCAGCCAGGTCAGGGAGGCCTATTTTTAAAAATTTAAACATTCAATTATAAAAAATTCTAAACAGACAAGCCAAAAGATTTTACACGAAGGACGTAAGTATGTTCACCACATAGATTCTGTTAACAGTTTACTATCCTTGCTTTGTCAACCTTTATATGCAACCATCAATCCATCTAATTTTTTGATACATTTCAAGTAAATTGGAAACATAACTTCATTTATCCCTAAATTATTTAGCATAAATATCATTAACTAAATTTCAAATTTTGTTCACTATTTTTTCTTTTGAATAAGATACAAAAATCTTAAGGGTACATGGGTTAAGCTTTGACAAATGCATACACCTGAATTACCCAAATCCCTACCACAATATAGAATATTACAGCCCTGGCCGGTTTGGCTCAGCGGTTAGAGCGTCCGCCTGTGGTCCCGAGAGACCCGGGTTCGGTTCCCGCTAAGGGCATGTACCTCGGTTGCAGTTTGTCCCAGGCCCTGGTTGGTCGTGCCGGTGGCAGCCACTCGATGTGTTCCTTTCACATCGATGTTTCCCTCTGTCTCTCTCTCTCTCTTCTTCTCTCTCCCTCCCACTCTGTCTGTACAAAAAATGGAAAAATGTCCTCGGATGAGGATAAAAATAAATAAATAAATAGAATATTACATTACCCTTGAAAGAAGGCTTACTTTTAACTGGATTCCTTTTAGCACCTCCTGAATTTTGTAGGATGTTGTTTGTGTTCTCTATTTTTAAATTAAATATTCAAGCATTTAAAATATTTAAACACTCTTATAATGATGGACCCTAGAATCTAAATTGGATGAGGAAGAAAGTGAAAACAGGAGGGGATGATAGATAACAAGGAAGTGGTGGGGGTCAATGGAATGGAGAATTCACTGAAGTCCATATCATAGAAATGATGTTGCTAGAACAAATGTATTAGGAGAAAGTAATTAGAGTGGGATGTTTGAAATTGAGTTTTCAAAAATAGCCATCAGGTTCAGAGTGTGACCATAGAATGATGGCAATTAGGATATTAGTCCCCCTCCCTACCATATGTTCTTAAGGGAACACTGTAGTTTTCCTTTGTAGTGTTTATCACAATTCCAATTAAGTAATATTTGATTTGTGTAACTATGCTTAATATCTGGCTCCCTTATAAGACTATAAGCTCCCAGAGGATGAGGACAAGGTTCTCTGTCTCATTTATTTTTTGTATTTCCAATGCCTAGTACATACAGCTGTACTTTGGAGATTTTGTGAGTTCGGTTCCAGACCACCACAATAAAGCAAGTAGGAATCTTTTTTTTTTTTTTGGTGGAGGGTTTTGCTTTTAATTTGCAAAAAAAAAAAAGCAACATCTGTGAAATGGAATAAAGTGAAGAGCAATAAAATGAGGTATGCCTGTAGTAGGTCCTCAGACAAGTATTAAATGCTTAATTGGATTCTTTATGTAGGGTCCTTCATTCATTCGTTCATCATGTCACAGCTTCTCACCTACCTTTTGTTTTTTTAGAGTACATAAAGCTGATTATAATTTAATCTAGACTCTTACATTTTAAATTATAATTTAAAATGTTGGACTAAAGAAGAGTTGGACTACGATAGAAGATAACCTAGTTTCACTGAAAAGGGGAACCATAATTATATAAAGGTTACTTTGCACAAGGCCCTTTCTCCGACCCAGCTGAGTGACCTTGGCCAGATCACCTCTCTGAGCCTCATTTTTCCCATCTGTAGAACAAAGATGACAGCTAAAAATCATCCCTATGTTAACATTCTGCTAGGACATTACAGGCACAGCACCTCTGAGCACTTGTTTTTCCACTTACTCATTATTTAATAGTGCCTAGATTGCTCTCTACTATGTCATTGGTAAAAGGGAGACACCTAAGTGGCATAATTGTTGTGTTGATTTAATGAAATATTACAAAAACTTTCTAAATTACCCTTCTGCTTCTATTCACCATGCAATAATCACAGTAAACATGATAAAATGGGAGTCTGGTCATGCCAATTCTCTGTTCAAAAGCCTGCAATGATGCCCCATCTCACTCAGAATAAAAACCAGGCTTTACAGTGGTCGACATAACCCTATACAATTATTTTTTTTTTAAAATATTTTTACTGATTTTTTTAGAGAGGAAGGGAGAGATAGAAACGTCAATGTGATCAGCTGCCTCCTGTACACCTCCTACTGGGGATCGAGCCTGAACCCAGGCATGTGCCCCAATCAGGAATGGAACTGGGACCTCTCAGTCCATGGGATGGTGCTTAATCCACTGAGCCACACTGGCCGGGCAAGCCCTACACAATCTTATGCTCTGAACACACCAACCTTCTCCCTGGTCCTTGGACATTCTGGGCAATCTGCCACCTGTGAGTCCTCTGTCTGGGATGCTCTTCTCCCACATAGGCCTGGCCTTCTTCCTTACCTCCTTCAAGTCTTTGCTCAAATGGCATCTGCTCAGTGAGGCCTACCTGGATCACTATTTAAAATTTCAAACTTCAGCCTGTCCAGTGTGGCTCAGTGGTTGAGCATCAACCCATGCAAGAGGTTACTGGTTCAATTCCCTGTCAGGGCAATGCCCAGGTTGTGGACCCCATGCCCAGTGCGGGACATGCAGAAGGCAGCCAGTCGGTGTTCTCTCTCATTGATGTTTCTCTCTCTCTCCTTCTCCTTTCCTCCCTTCCTCTCTCTAAAAATATCAATAAAGAAAAAAAAATTCAGCCCCCTTCCCTAGTTTATTTTACTCCATAGCTCTTATTTATTTCTAACATATTGTGAGTGAATACTGTTGGTAAATATGCATAATACATTATCAGGTATATTGTAGGTTCTACATATAAATTATTTTCTTCTCTTGGCCAGTGGCTTGTGGTCTGAAGGGATAAAGTTTTGGAACTTATGGTTTAGAATCTTGTAAAATAATATGGCTTCAGGAAATCCAAGATTAATATTCATTTCCTGATCAATCTTTTGTAGATATCAGTGCCAGACACTCTTGAATAGAATAGTGAATACTTTTGTGCATTCATTCATTCATATATCCACTCAACAAATATTTATTGGGCGGCTTCTATTTGCCAGTTCATACTGAAGACAGCTGTTATAGGCATTTCATTCAGGATAAGGTTCCTCCCTTAATACAGCGTCGGATTTGGGGCGGGGAGAGGAGGGAAGATGCGTGGTTCTGCCAGCAGAGGGCGCGCTCCCAGCCACTTCGCCGCCTCCCGGCCCACCAAGGCTTCCAGGCTCCCAAGCTCCCACGCTTGCTCGCGAGCGCGCCCCCGCCCGCCGCGTCACGTGATGCGGCCGAGGAACCTGAGCCGCCGGGCCTAAGCCGAGCTAAATTCGTTGCGGGTGGCCGCTGCGGGTGCAACCACAAAGGCTAACCCGAAGGAGTGGGGAAGCTCGTGGAATCGATGCTTCCTTTTCCAATTCAGATCGGCTCCCGTTTCCTTCTCACCATTCGCCGAAGCCGTCTCCCTGAGCGTTTGCATGAACTCTTTCGTGTGGAGCAGCTCCGGTGACCATGTAGGGGGAGAGAGTGAGAAAGCTCCAAGTACCGGGACGAGGTCAGCGCTGTCGGCACTCCGCCCCGGCTCCCATCACACCCCCGGTGCGGGCCGCTGGGCCTGTCGGACCTGGTGAGAACTCCAGCCTCTAGTTGTGGCCTGGTCCCGAGTGCCGTGAAATCTCGCGCCGCCTCGCGAGATTCTAAGTTGAAGGAACATGGCGACGTCTAATCTCTTAAAGGTAAGACCCTCAGTCCTGCTTGGCTTTTACTCCGTGACCGCTGGGTTCGGCTCTTTGGGAAAGGGTCGGTTCAGGTTCAGTGGGATATGTGGGAGGTATCTACCGGAAGGGAAGCCGAGGAGGCTGCCGCTGAGCACCGGGACGCGGGTCTCTGGCCTTAGGGTCGAGAGGCTCCGGTTGTCCCTCCCGCGCATTGACCGGTGTGAGAAGGGCCCGGCTGTGGGCTGACGGGGGGACGATGCTTGCAAGGCACCAGTGGTGGCTTCGGGCGGGACATGAAAGGAGGTGCATGTGCCCTCACCGACTAGGCCGACTAGGCCGACTAGGCAGTTGCTATCCTTTGGGTCTCAGTTTCTTCTGAAACGAGAGTCTAAAATGCATAAAAGGAAAATCCAAGAAAATGCTGCCTAACGTAGGTCTCATGACTGCCCCACCTCCTCAGTTTCTGTTCGCCTTCTCTGCTTAAAATTCCATGTCAGACGGCAGCAGTGCCTGCGACCCCGCTCTCTCTTCTGCACGCTGTGCTTACCCTTCTGTTCTCCCAGTCCTCGCTTCCTATTTTACCCTTTTTTCGTTAGTGATACCGTTGTTTTGGGGCATAGGAAAGTTACCTTATCAAAGGAAACGGTTTCAGGTTGGTTTTATATATTTGGGTTAGCAAAGGAAATGTAGGCCCAGAGGACAGATTCTGTCATCAGTTAAAATCTTGAGAGGAGAATGAGGAAGACAAGACACTAGTTTGTTTCTATGCTTGTGTTTAGTGTAGGAACGTTTTGCCTTAAAAGTATTTACTGAAATGGGGGTCTGATTATCTCAGGGAACATAAGTACAAAGGATGAGGAACTCCTGCCCAAACCATCATTTTGCCTTCAGGCAGTGTGGATGGATAATAGAAAATATGTTAAAATATACAGAAACTCTCTCATGTCTTCTTTAGACTACTTATGTTAGTTGACTGCCTGATAGATGGGACTGTCTTAAAATGTAGACATATTTTTACTAACTTAAGAGACAATATGCCCTCTTTTAAAGGGAGGAGGGGCCTAGAACTAGACAATTTGGGCTGCTTAGAAGCTGTGTGACTTTGGGCAATGTTCTTAACCTTTATGCCTGGTTTTTCATCAATAAAATGTAATTATTAATAGCACCTGTTTCATAGCATTGTGAAGGTTGAGTTAATGAGTGTAAAATGCTTAAAACAGTGACTGGCAATTAGTACACAATATACATAAATTACTAGAATTACTGCCCTTGGCTTTCTCTCTAAGAAAAATAGTTCATGGGAATTGAGTAACCCATCCTATTCTACTCTTCTTTTATAACAGTATAGCAAAGTTCTAATATGTTAGTTCAGAAAGAAAACTTTGACTTCTAAAGACTTCAGTTAATGCGTCCTCATGGAACAATTAATAGCTTGTTATTAATTGAAATGTGTTTAAGAAGTAATTGTATTCCTGATTCTTTATGAAATTTTTTGTTTGTTAATCCTCACTTGAGGATATTTTTTTCATTGATTTTTAAGTGGAAGAGAGAGACAGACAAACAGACAGAGACATTGATGTGAGAGAGACACATCAACAAGCTGCCAGGGATGTAACCTGCAACTGAGGTATGTGCCCTTGACAGTGCCCTTTGGTGCTCTGGCTGACGCTCTAACCACTGAGATACACCAGTGAGAGCTCTTTGTGAATTTTTTACTTGATTTCCTGCACATAGAAAGTCTTTTTCCCAAAAAAAAAAAAAAATTCTCTAGAAAAGAGCGAGTTGGTTTATTTGACCCCATAGAAAGCCTTGCAAAGGATTGACTGACTGGACGAGGTATAAGTCTGAATCTAGTTCATTCAACACTAATAAGTGCTTACTTTAACTTGTAGAGATTATGAATCTACATGTACAGCACACACCCATAGAATGAAAAAATTGCCTCAATGTATAGAAAATGAGCACTTCGTATTTAGGTTAAAAAGATAACAAGGATTCAAAAGTTCTGTACTCAGAACAACTTTTATAAATAAAAGGAAGGAAACAATGCTTTGAAAAACTACTAAATGACTCAGTCACTCTAGTGAACATGAAAACAGATGCCAAAGTTTCACTGGGAAATTTTCAATAAAATAGTTTTAAATGTTGAAGGGGGAAGAATTTCTAAATATTATTTTATATAGAATATGATTTTAAATATGTTCAACTAACATAAAATAATGGACATTATAAAGGTATTTAATTCTTTTTTTTAATATGTTTTTATTGATTTTTTTAGGGAGAGAGAGAAACATCAATGTGAGAGAGAAACATCAATCAGCTGCCTCCTGCACACCCCCTACTGAGGACGGAGTCCGAAACCTAGGCATGTGCCCTGAGAATCTAAGTGAGACCTCTTAGTCCATGGGTTGACACTCCACTGAGCCACACCAGCCCCAGCTAATTCTTTTATCTGTGTTACCAAAAATTTACATATGTAACTTGGCCAGAAAACTTCTTTTTCTTTTTTCTCTCCTTATGAAGGGAGGGAATATTGCCTTATATTTGTATATTTAGGAGTAGCTAATTAAAAAGTGGGAAGTTAGTCTTCCTGGAGAAATGTAGTGTGATCCTGCCAGGGTATAGCTGTAATGTAATTTACAGGATCAGTTAAATTCAAGGCTGGTGGTACCTTGATTAGAGACAAGGCTGGTTAGGGTGTGTGTAGATTTACCTCATTTCCTTTTTCTGACAGAATTAATAGACTGGTTCATTAGAAAAATGCTTTGGACATTGTGCAGTTAGATTTCACCAGAAAATGTGTGTGTATGTATAGAAATATAGGAGAGGAATGGGAAGAGGGGGAGAGAAACATGAATCAGTTGCCTCCTGTATGCTCCCCAACCAGGGATCAAACCGGCAGCCTGGGTATGTGCGCTGACTGGGAATCGAACCCACCACCTTCTGGTGTGTGGGACGATTCTCCAGCCAACTGAGCCACACTGACCAGGGCTTCACCACAACATATTTGACAAAGTTTTCATGTCCTATGGTCAGAATGGAGATATGTGAGCTAAATAAAAATATAGTTAGAATTTGGTTCATTATCAGTTAAACAACTAAGTGTACCTGCAGTCTGATGATAACTAATTAATTATCATCAACCCTGAAGGGAGGCTGCTTAGGTCCTACTGAAGGAAAATGTCCTCTTCCCATTTGCCAGTAACTTGGATTAAGTTTGTTGAAATTGTGGATGACAGAGTTCAGAGGAATAGTTAATATGTTATGAAAGATAACAAGATTCAAAACTTTGATGTGAAACTTACAAATCAGAACTCAATGCAATAAAAACCACCTACTTTTTTTTAACCACCTCCTTTTTTAAATATTGGGATTTGACTGCAATAATAATTGTATTCTCTATTTAAAGAAAGTGGACTATTGCCCTGGTTGGTGTGGCTCGGTTGGATAGAACATCATCCCGTACACCAAAAGGTGGCAGGTTCAATTCCCAGTCAGGGTACATTCCCAGTTGGGGAACATGTGGAAGACAACCTATCTGTTTCTCTCTCACATCAATGTTTCTCTCTCTCTCTCTCTCTCTCTCTCTCTCTCTCTCTCTCTCTCTGTCTCTTTCTCTCCCCCCCTCAACCTTTCTTTCTCTCTCTCTCTAAATTCAATAATAATAAAAAAAACTATTTAAAATTAAAAAGAAAAAGAAAGTGAACTGTTGCTGAATTTTGGGAATCTTTTGGATAATACAAATGTCGTACATTTTGACATACAATTATCAGTTGCTTGGGGAGTTTATAACTTTTTAATATTACTATTTGAAGTTTTGTTTTAACCTTTAATTTTGCTTATTCCTTTTTTTTGCAGTTACCACCTAGGCCTTTAGTGCTCATTTTCTTTATTTCCAGTTGAGTATCCTTTTTCAAATAGCAATTATTTAAATCTTATTTTACTGAGCATCGCCCTGTTTAATTATTTTCTTTTTAACTTTTTTATGAATTTCTTTTTGTTACAGATGTTTCTCCTTTTTCCCCCACCCTGTTTAATTCTTAGCACATTACTCTGTCAAGCTATTTGGTGTGTTTAACTTCCTTGGTCAATACCACAAATTTTCCTGGCTTCCTCTGTATTCTTTTTTCCAAGGCACCTTATGCGTTGTCTCCTTCCACTTGTTCTGAATTCATTTCACCCCACCCCGACCCCCCAGGACCTGGCAGCATGTCTCCTGTTCTTTTGTTTCAGTCTCCTTTATTCTTTTGGAATTTAAAAAGTCCATGTAACTCCTCATATAACCTGTGCTCTGCTTTGACCTCAAACTTTTGCTCTTTTCTCTCTTTCCATTCACTAGCACAGTTCTTAAAAAAGCAGCCCCTGCTTGCTGTTTTTATATTTCTTTACCTTTTCTCTTAACTTACTGTGACTTGGCTCTCTCCCTACCCTCACACAGTTATATTGAAGCTGTTAGTCGTAAGAGCTCTAGCAACCTCCTCACTGCCAAATGAGATCCTTCTCATTCCTCCTCTCTTCTGATATTGTTGATGACTACCTCTGCTTCCCTTTTGGTTTTTATGACATTGCCTCCTTGGTTTTCATCTCTCAAATCACTTGTGGTTTTCACTGACCTCCTCCTCTTCTCGGGATATAGTCTTTAGCCTTTTCTATCTTTGTCCTTTTTTTCCCTGAGATAGGCTTAACTCCCATGATTTCCCTATTTTTATCTCAACTCTGATATGAGCTCTAGACCAAAAAGTACCAACCATATCAATTTCTTTCTTGAACCTTTGATGGTTCAAATTCTTTGAGATCCTTCCAGCTGGGTCTTCACATTCATAATTCCTCCCTCTTCTCTTTCTTTCCCTCTCCCTCCCTACATGGCTGGTTATTTTTTGGTTCACTAGCATACTAGAGTCTTTATGATTCTTTATGCTGCTGTTTCTTCTATCAGGGAATGCCCCCTCCCCTCAACATTTGCCTGTTAAAATTTTATTTATTCATCAGGACTCAGCCCAGCTCGGCCGGTGTGGCTC